AGGCGGCGGGAGGAGGAGGGGGGGGAGGAGGCGAAGAAAGAGACCGGAAGAAAAGTTGGCTCTAAAAGACCGTTATAAATGACCCCTCCCCCCCAGACCAGAGGATCGGTCGGCTCTGCAGGGCTGTCACCCAACCGGGCTACCCTCTCTGGTGGGAGCGGAACCTGACCTCCCCAAGCGCTCGCAAGACGTTCTGGGAGACTCCTCTTGGGCTGGGGAAAAGCGCCCAAGGGCCGATTCACTCCAGTCCCTCTTCTTTTCCACTCTACCCCCCCCCCTCGCCTTTATTCCAAGAAAGAAGCACAAGCAAAAAGCCGAAAAGATTGGAAACCGGAGCCGAAGGCAAGGAGAGGCACAAAGGAAAAGTGGGGTGGAGGTGGCGGGTGGGGTAGTAAACCTCCTTTCTCCGACATCCGTATAGAACTGTAAAAAAAGGCAAAGAATGGGTATCTAAAAATCCACCGCAACTGCTCTTCGACGGTCTAGCTATCCCAATTCCACTTTACTCGGCGGCTTTACTCTTATTATTACGCATGGTTTCTTGCTGCCTCGCTCGTTTCCCCTGCTTTGAGATCCTTTATAAAAGAAGCAGCGGCGTATAAATCTTCGGAGCGAATGACCTCTGGGGGAAAAAAGCTCGCACTTTCTTTTTCCCGGGGAGGGAAGGGATATGATCAAATTAACAGAGTTGGAAGGGACTTCGTAGGTCATCTAATCCAACCCCCCCCCCTTCCCCGGCCCAAGCAGGAGACCCTGCCTACACCATTTCTGACAAATGGCCCTTCGGAGTCGGCCTAACGGAGGTCTTGCCCTGGGAGAAATGTTTGGCTCTGGCTAACGACACCCCGTCTCCCCGCTCCCTTAATTCCGGGAGCGCTTGCACGAAGCTCGGTCTCCCTTTCGGACTCTTGGCGAAGAACCCGCTCGACTTGCGCCTTCCCAAAGGGAGTTGCGCGGAGATCTTGCCTCGCTCCCCCCCCCCCCCAATTCCCCCAACGCGCCCGCGCCCTTCTCAAGTCTCGGGCTTTTTCCTTGGCCCGGCTGCGGAGCTTCCTTACCTGCGTGGCTCATCTTCCGAAGTCTCCCCCCACCTCGGCGGTCGCGCTTCTCCCCCTTTTTCGCCCCCTCCCCCGAGCTTTCAAATCATCTCCGCGGCTTCCGAGCTTTAGGGTGGCTCCCTCCGCGGAGCCCCCGGGGCAGCTAAAGTTCAGGTCGGGGCATGGATGGATCGGAAAGGGGCGGGGAAGAATCCGCTGGGCAAGTTGCGCTAGGAGAGAGAGAGAGAGAGAGAACGCGCGCCCCCGAGCGCGGGGCAGCGATCCCTCTCCCCAAAGCGTCCGGCACCTTTTTCGGGCTGAAAAGAGGGCAAAGAGCGTGGCTACTGGCTAGTCGGGCGCTCAGTGCCGCGGAGGGCTGCCGTCGCCCTGCCCCATCGCCGCTATCAGCTTGTTGCAACTGGAAGGTCCCTGCCAGTTGCTGATCGCCGAGCGCTGCCCAGGGAAGCTGCTGCTCTCCTCCTCCTCCTCCTCCTCCTCCGGCCGACAAGCATTTTCCTTCCTTCGCTGCAGAGGAAGCCCTTTTGCTCACGCAGGGACTGAAAAGCAGCCGCGAAAGGAGGGGGGGGGCGAAGTGAGCGCGAACGCCAAAAAACCCCAAGCCATTAAATTTAAAGAGACCGCGGCTGCCGCTTTTTTTTTTGTTTTGTTTTTGAGGTTTTGAAAGCCAGGGGTGGAAACGAAGAAAACGAACAATATACCTCCCTTCTCTCTTACCCCCTCCCTCCATGGCTCCCTACCCATTGCTAATGTGGCCAATGTGAAATTGAACGCAAGTATAACTGAACGCAAGAAATTGCGCGCATCCCGCGGAGGTTATACAGTGGGACTCGCGGCAACGAGACTATCATGATCGGGGTTACCCTTCTGCCACTTTGCAAGATCAATGCGACACTGTTGAAGTTGGGCAAGACCCCCAAATGGAGCCCCATCCGAAAACGTCCCCCCCATTTCGCTATTAAGCGCCGCTTTTTCTGGGGCAACGATCACATCTGGGCACACTCGGGCGTTCCTTCCTTGCCGTGCATGGGCGCAACCCCGGCTGAGCATAAAAGCTACAGCTGAGGCAGCGACCCGGAGCGCGCTTGCCCTTGATCTACTTGGCGGGCCTTCACAAAGTCAATGCAGGAAGGCCCCTGAGCACCCTCGGATCTGTAGCTTTCATTGATTCGGAGGGCGATCCCCGAGGGGAGGGAAATAAAAGCCCTTTCGCTTCTGGTGTTTAGGAAGGACCCAGATACAGTAACAGAGTTGGAAGGTATCTTGGAGGTCATCTAGTCCAACCCCCTGCTCACGCAGGAGACCTGTACTAGGGATTCGAACCGCCGACCTTTCTGATCGACAAGTTCAGTGAGCCCTTAGCCACTGAGCCACCCACCGCCTTCTTTTTGCGCGTTGGCGCACTCACTTCGAAGGCTTCCCCGTTCTTCGATGGCACTTAGGGCGGGCTGGCTCCCCTTAACACCTCTAACAGCCAACCCCAATCCTGCACCCTAAGTGGATTTTAGAGAGATTTCCTGCCATGTCGGTGCGCACAGACTGGGTACATCCCGGAGTCCTAACCTGCATTCGACATAGAGCTTCGCGCGAGGGAGCTGGAAAGGACAGGCTGGCGAAGGGGAAACTTCCAGAGAGCTGAGCGGAGAAGTGGGAAGCGAGAAGTCCGCTCTCCCCATCGGCACGCAGATGGAGGGGCGGGTGGCCGCTGTTACCCTGGCTTCCAGGCGGACGAAGAAGGTGGATCGGGCCCTGTCAGTGGAAAGGGACTTTACCTGAAAAGACTGCAAGCTCAGCTGCTGGGTGAAAATGTGGTGTGAAGTGAAGCGTTTCCTCCCGGCTGGAAAAACCTTCTACTACCCCATCAAGCCTCAGGCTGAGAAGAGGCGAGAAACGTTTGAATTCCGCGTTGGGGTTAGCTCGCCCTTCCCCCCTCCCCTTTCGCTCAGCCCTGCTCTTTCCCAGCTCAGGAAAGATGACACAATTTCCTCAACCGGCAACCCCATTGATAATACCTGGCTGGCTGCTGTGCTTGCAATCACTGTGGCCCATTTTACAACCAGAAGACGAATGGACTTTAGATGAAGGATCTGGGGAAAGGAATCCCACTGCAATTGAGTTGCTGAGGGAGTTGCTTGTGAGAAGGCACCCATTGCACTGCACAGATGTCCTCACCAGAGTCTGACAGAATGGCAGAGTTGGAAGGGACCTTGGAGGTCTTCTAGTCCAACCTTCTGCTCAGGCAGGAAGCCCTATTGCATTTCAGACAAAATGGTTGTCCAATCTCTTCTTAAAAACTTTCAATGTTGGTGGAGCACTCACAACTTCTAGAGGCAAATTGTTCCACTGATTAATGGAACTCTTCTCTTCTTGTTTACCCAAGTTCACCCTTATTCGCACTCAAGGACCAATATAAACATTGAGAAACTTCCTAACAGTGAGGACAATTGACCAATGGAACAGCTTGCCTTCAGATGTTGTGGGTGCTTCTCATCACTGGAGGTTTTTAAGAAGAGACTGGACAGTCACTTGTCTGAAATGGTAGAGGACCGTGATGGCGAACCTATGGCACGGGTGCCAGAGGTGGCACGCAGACCCTCTCTGCTGGCACGCGCACTGTTGCCCAGGTCAGATCTCCGTGGTGTTTCTTTCATGAGCTTCTGTTTCCCTGCAAACGATGAAACAGAAGCTCATGAAAGAAAAAGATCTTACCTCTTGCTGCCCTGCCAGTGTTGGGATGCCAACCAGCTGGTCATCGGATCTCTGATGTGCATGCATGCATGTCCATGCATGTGCACATCTGCACAATCACACATTCGCACACCTTTCAGTTTGGGCATGAACGAGTGCAGTTTGGGCACTCAGGGTATAAAAGGTTCGCCATCACTGGTATAGGATCTCCTGCTTGAGCAGAGGGATGGACTAGAAAACCTCCCAGGTCCCTTCAAACTCCATTCTGATTTGATTTGATTTGTAGGTGAAGCAGAGGAATAATGAGGAAAACACGATCCAATGTTGGATCTGATTCCAGGGATCTTGAGAGTA